TATTTTCTATATTACAAGTTAGAATGGACGCATTCATTGCTGCTTATTTTTTCACATAAGCTGGCAAATAATTTTGATTTTGTAGATCCTAGAACCACACTTTAAGAAACATTGATCTAGAACAAGTCCCGAATCTTGTTCTTTTTTTGTGAAGTTTTCTTTGTCTCATCAGGAGTTGTCAAATATCTTTTTTTCCCCATGTCTTTAATTCATTGTTTGAAAGAAGAGAAAAACCCAATGCATGTTTTATTTGTAACAGTTTATTATTTGCTCTCTGATAAAAACATTTCAAAAAACACTACACAAAATAAATCCATTGTGATTGTAAAGTGCATTTTTAGGTGTGTAAAAAATATATTTAACAACATGCAAGGCATCCTGAAGCAAAAAATGGACTATTCCTCATTACATTCATACAGGCAAGAGAAACACAAAAGTCCAAGAAGTTGGCTTTACAATTTGGAAAGAAGACTGAAATAAAAGTGCATTTGTTATAGCCATCCTGGGTATGCATTTCACACAGTCAAGCAATTTTTCTCTTTCTCTCTATAGTCACATCACAATAAGCTAGATCTGCTAAATAAGCCAATTATTTGGATTCACATTGACTCAATAGGCCAGGGTTTACAAACCCAATGGTCATCCACAAAACAAAGCCAAACCAAGCAAACTTCATTATGACTTTGTGCAGGGGTGCACTAGTTATAGTTAAACTTACTCATATTTTCAAAATTCAATCAGAGGAACACTCAGACCACGAAACTCAAGTTTTGCCCCCTTGAGTTAAGCAAATTGTGTCTTTGTCACTTACTTTGACTTTCTTTCTTGGAAACCTTTAGGATAATTTTACATACCATCAGAGGAAGCCATTACAGCCCAGCATAAGGCCTTTAGAAGACTGAGTTAAGGGATACATGGAATCCAGACTTTTGGACTGAAACAACCCAACTGGTTTATATTCAATTTGTCCAGAGTTCTTCAGTTCAATATTGTTATTTGACATGTTTCAGTCGTATATCAAATCCCTAGACAGGGTAGGAATATGAAGGATTAATACAGATGGATGGATCAGGGGAACGGGATCTGGATTTTATAAAGATGTGTCATGTTTCAAGGCTTACAGGAAGAAACCTTATCTAAATAGGGCTACATATAGTCCTGATCAGAAGAATAAGGATAATGCATTAAGTTAGTCCAGCTTATTTTTCCTTCTGGCATGTTAATTCAACATGCAAGGCAGTTGTGAACAGCCGATTTGCAATGTTATTGAGGGGTTGCATGAAGGAACGGTTTTTGCACATGACTTTGGGGGATTATTTCTTGAATATACACAAGGATTAAAACATTTCTTGTAGTCTACAGTAACTTCCCACTTGCAATCCCAAACTTGTAATTTAAACTAATTTTCTACTCTCTAACTACAAATTTACACATTAGCCTTTTCCTGCTTCTCAAGCCCTCCCAGACCCTCCAGACAACCATCCCATCATCCCCTGCAGCCATCTGGAGGTCTTCAGGAAGAGAAGGGTTATGATACATATTTCTTTTGAACATATGTACTGCTGTGTTCAGTGGGTTCACTTCCAAATGGTTTTGAAAATCTTGCTATTTAAGTTAAAGCAGCAGTTAATGAATGCATTCGATTACTGGTTGTTTCTTGGGGAAGTAAAAAATAAATGCTTTTTTCTTTCATATAACCAACCAGAAGATTCAGTTAGATCAGTTTCCCTTCACAGAAAGTATTAGTCAACACATCAGAGTGGCTCAGCCACAAAACCCTTCTCCTCAGATTAAACCCCATTGCGAAAGAAGCCATGCTCTCACTTTTCAAATGGCAATGGGAAAAGAGATCCATAGCAAGCAGGAGAAGTCAAGTCCCCACTTTGTCTGGATTCGGCTTTATCATAACAGGCTTACACACCTGCCGATCACACCGTCTGCAGAGATTTTATTTTTTATTTTTAAAGCAGCAATAACTAAGACCAATTGGGTATTTGTGCTGAAGTTTCTAATACACAGCTTCTAACAGCTCCAGTGCCAAGTCTTAATTCAAATTGAAGGCATGGAAATGAAATGACAGGACTCATTATAGAGAGTTAAGGAAATGCTGGGGATTCAGATTTCTTAAGAAACAAGCCGTGGCATGCTGGCAGACTTTCCCCATTTTTAACCACAAGCTAACATTCCAGGGAAAGGCTCTTGCATCACGCTAAATAATCAGGCTTGGTCACTGCTGCTTCTCCAAAATTGCGTAGGAGCCTGCATGAACCCCTTTCCAAATCAAGATTTTTCAGATAGAACAGGGAACATAAGAACTTCATCTGAATATTAGATACTAAATCTAAAATCCTCAGTTCTACTTCACATACAGCAAAACTATTTATGGGGCTACTTATTCTATCATTGAATGGAGCCAGAACAACTGATTTGATTTAAAGTTGAGTTATGAAACTCTGGTACGTATGTTTGAGCTATCAAGTAATTTCACCATTTTGTTATTGACATTACAAACAAGCACTGAAATGGGTTAACTTTCTAGTCAGTTGGATTTATTAAGGTGGAAAGTCTAAATGGCTTTCTTTAGTGTTAAACAAGAACCACAGAAGGATTGGCCCCAATAAATGATAAAACATGGTCATCACTTGTAGTTTACTATGGCATCTGCCAATAGGGGAAAACATTTCGGAAAAGAAATAGTCATACATTTATGAAGATGAAGCAAGATTTTTGGATTGTTTTGCTCTGAGTGCAACGAGTGATTTACCATTTTTGGTGAACCATCTTTCCTTCTCAACTTTACCAGCATTCAGGAACATAGGAAATTTGGTGTTTCATTTCATACTACATCTGTCCATTGCCAAAGAAAAGATCAGGATATCTGTCAATCTAGCTCATTGCATAGTTTAGTCGGGAGAAACTGACAAGAAATTGGATACCAATTTCATTATAAAAAGGACTTGTGTTTGATACACAGTAGCCACTGGAATTCATCCATACTGGCTTTTAGCTTTTCTAAATTAAAGCTACCTAACATAAGTTCCTCGACTCTTGTATGGCTGTTTAATTCACTCGACCACAATGCCATGCCATGCCCTCAGCTGCTGCTGAAGGCCAATACTGGAAGATCCCCTATCCAGAGAGGTAACATCCTGTGACTCTGGACACACAGAAACAACAGAGTACTTACTCCTGCAGAGCCTGTACTACAGAGACATTCGCACTAGGCCAGGGGTAGGCAACCTTGGCTCTTTTATGACTCGTGGACTTCAACTCCCAAAATTCCTGAGCCAGCATGGCTCAGCTTGGAAACCTCTCCCTTTTCTCTCAGCATGGCTGGCTCAGGAATTCTGGGAGTTGAAGTCCACAAGTCATAAAAGAGCCAAGGTTGCCTACCCCTGCACTAGGCTCATCTTGCCATCATTGCATAAATGCCCATATGTTCAGGACAATTCTACACCTTCCTACTGCTTTCAGATATTAACCCTGCTAGAATATTTGTTGCCAGGTTTTATGTAGCAGTGCTTAAAATCCAACAGATGATGACCTCTGCCCTAAAGCAGCCTCAATGAACATCTAATTCACCATTCTAGAGTGCTCTGTACTGATCTAATCTCTATGCTCCCCTACACCCATCTAATGCTTCTATACCTTCTTTCAGTTTCCCATTAAGCTTTTGGTTTTTATGCACAGACTTTCTGCTTTATGTCTTTCAGCTTCTTATCATAATTAATTTTTTAGATTTTGATGTGTTTTCTATGCTTTTTAGTTGACTGTAGCCCACTTTCTTTACGCTGTAATAAAAACTGATTTATTAATTGGTCTAATCCAGCCTGCTGGGGAAAGATCTGACACAGAATATTTAACATCTCTGGAGAGACCAAACGTTCTTGTGTCTGAATTCAAACCATCTGTTCTACCGCTGAGTTAAAATGCTCCTATTACTGAGCATAAGCATTGAGGGCAACAGAAAACTGGATTCAGTGGGTATCCTTTATTTGACACGATATCTTATTTATGTCAGTAACATTCAATTTATAGGCATTTTATAAAATTCATGAAACAAAATGGAATTTTAAAATGTTCTTCACCCAGATGACTAAGCCCAGCAGGCCCCAAACAAAATTATATTTAAATAAGATGGTGTCATGAGGAGTTAAGACTTAAAAACAATTTTATTCTTAACAGTCCACCACCACTTAATAAAGGAGGAAGGAGAGAGATAAGTAAAATCATTTACATAAAATTATTACTTATTATGGAAGCTAAAATGCTACATCAACCTTCTCCAGGCCACTGACTGTCCTGCCTGGAGATCATAGGAACTTAAGTCTAGTACATCCTGAGGGCACCAGGTTGATTAAGGATGGATTGTGTGACTAGGCTCCATAGCGCTCGTCTGACTCAGCCACTGAAAGAAATGTACATATGGGTTTAGGAAAAGAGATACAGGCAGAATGGTGAGTAAGCATTTTGGAATCTTCCCATAAACAAGGCAATTCCTAAAATGGAAGGAAGCAAAGGATCATCTGAGCTAAAATTATAGTCTTTTCCATTTGGGACTCTTAGCCTCTCACAGATTGTACAATCTGATTAAGAGAGGAGGGGGAACACCGCTTAGCTCATCCCTGCATCTTGTTTCTTCTCAGAGAGTTGGCTTTGTCAGAGAGGTGCATAGCAAGTTTGATTCGAGAGTACAGAAAACGAACAAAGGGGGGGGGGAATCCGTTCTGCACAGCTGACAATACTGTAATGTATCTCAAAGGACGCACATAAACCAAATTGCCCAAACTACAGCACCAAGTACTGAATTCGATCTGTGGCAGCCATGTCACAGGAGACCATCTCCTTTTGTTTAAATTCAAAGGAAAATGAAGAGAGCATCTGCCCTAAAAACCTTTTCAGCCAGGAGTTTTCTCGTGTCTCTTTGTTTCTATTCTGTAAGTACACCTTCGGTTTTTTGCCCACTCTGACTCTGCAACCATCTCCTCAAGAGGGTTTTCTCTCTCTGTCTCTTCATTCCTGTGCAGTAAATATAATCCAGAGTCTCTGATTTAATAATAAGGGCCAAGTTTTTCATATCCGGAATAGCTAGGCCATTCAGGAAATAAACCATAAGAACACCGGGGGCTTCCAAACTGATCAAAGGCAATCCCAAAATCTGGCTCACTATGAGGTTGTGAAATCTCCCGAGCCGATTTGAGTTCAGAGCGGATGATCCTGTAATTCAACCCCTTGTTGCTATCCCAGTAGACTTTGCCATCACATTCATAACACACTGCAAACTCGATTCTTTCATGGGCTTGAAACCGCTCTGGCAAACTAATATCAAAGGAGAACGTATCCTTATCGGAACTGGCATAGGTGTCCTTCACGTATTGGCATGGGTAATCCGTGAAGGTTTTCCAAGTATCAAAGGTCATCCGAATCTTGACGGCCTTCTCAAACGCCAGATTCCTGACTTTCACAGTACCCACAATAGCTTTATCTTTCAACATGCAGTTCTCAAGGCAAACGCAGTCCGCCTGCAGGCGATTCCGGAAGTCCAAGTAATCTGCCGAAGGCTGTACAAAATCCAAGACAAAGTCATCGTGATCCACTGTGGTCAGGCTCACAATATTGTCTATCAGTTCTGTGATGTTCAAGGGAATATCCAAGGGGTCATCAAATTCTGAGAACACTTTCACCACTGTCAGAGCCAAGCCTCTGCTGTCCGCAAAAGAAACCCTTTTCTTCACCCTGTTCCTCTGCAGAGCTTGGACCTCTGCCCCCAGCTCATTCAACACAGGGCTGCTGTTGACATAGATGCAGGGTCGCAAAGGTTTCTTGATCTTTGGGGCTATTTTGTAGGCAAAACTCTCTTTCCGCAAAGAGGGTGCCCGCAGGTAGAGTTGCATGGCTACATCCACTGCCATTCTGGGCTTCTGAGGAAAAGAATCCAAGATTCTGGAGGAGGGGATAAATAAAAAGTAGGAACACATTAAACAGTTACAAAGCCACATAGCAGGCCGCAGCCAGTCCCTATTCTCTGATATTCTCTGGATAGCATGTTTTAGGAAAGCCTGCTCATTTTCAAGCTTTGTACTTTTAGTTATCTCATCAAATATATACTGGACTCTACTGGGTATATAAAGCTCACAGTCTTACCCTTGCTTAATATCCTCAATAAAGACAATCAGATACAGGTCAGAAGTACAAGAAATGTGGACGTACAACTCAAATTTTTAGAATTAGGCTGTCTGGCAACAAAACAGTTGGACTTACAAGTTGATATGTCTGCCCTGATCTAGCAGCCAAATGGCATGTTCACATTTTCAGAAATAGGCACTCCTCCATGGAGAAAGTGTACGTTTTGGCAGATTTCAACAGAAGATGTCACAAATAGATCAAAACCATGTTTCATGCCATTTCACATGCTATCTCCCCAAACAAAGACCCAGACTTTAAATTTCTACTTATATGATCATGGAATCACACCTTCCCCGACATTACAATACTAAACCTGCCTCAGATATTTTACTGGGGGAAAAAAATCTATCTTTCTTCTATCACATCTTATTGAAAGGCAACATAATAGTTTACCACACACTCACCCTGTAACCCAGAAAGAGCTCGGTCGAAACTGCATTCCAGTTTGGAGCATTCTGAACGGTTAGATATTGAAAACCAGCAGAGCAATAAAGCATGGACAGGCTTGGAGAGCTGAGTAAAACACAACTGCCAGAGGCTAAGACCGCATTTCTTTTACAGCAAGTTCTCTATTCCTCTAAGTCCTGGAACTTTTTCTTTCAGTGTGTAGAAACAGGAAACAGAATAGACTGCAGAAAGAAAGAGCTGCCCTAACTTCTTAACTGGAGCGGAAGCCATAGCAGACCTGTGACGTCACAGATTTACAGTTTGGCAATATTGAGACATTTCAGGAATTTGCATTGATGTAACTATGTCAATGAATTTGAGTCACAGTACATTCAAATTCACTTCCGTAAAACTTTGCCAGGATCCAGGCACGAATAAGAAAAAGGATTAAATAAATAATGTGAAGAAATACTGCCTACAAGAAAACTACCTAATTCCATCGGTGTATGTTACTACTTTCTGGATTTCTTGCAGTTTTGAATATTACATATTACATAGATTTGGAAATAGGTGGCTTCAAATTACAAGGAGAGAATAAATGAGTATTTGTCCAAAGTTCACCTTTGAGTTAGCTACAACTCAGAGCAGTATTAACATACAAAATAGCAATATCTAATCTGCAAAACACTTGCAGAATATATTTATGTAAATAGGCAAATTATATTTTACACTGCAAGCCAGTCTACATTAGGAACCATTATCCCTTAACCGTGACAAGTTCCGGCCTCTATGGAAAGTCAGTTTACAAAAATACAAATAAATTGGCCTGAGAAAAGAGATTCCAATAGCATCAAAGGGTTTAAAAGAAAATGGGCAGCTCAACTTGGTCCCAACCAGATGTTTTGAATCACAACTCCCATAATTCCTTGCCTCTGGTCCTGCTGCTTGAGCTGTGGGAAATTTAACAGTTAAAGTATATTACCTTAATTTAGACACTGAACCTGGACTGGAAATAAGATTTTTTTAAAATTACTACATAGGGTGGGTCCTATGAGTCAGAACTGAAGAAGCTTCTTGGATGATAACCAAAACATTTTCAAGGGGAAAAAACTCCCAATGAAGTCCAGTTGCCTTTTGGAAAAGCACCTTTGGGATAACCATGACCTGGATGATTGAGAATCTCCACAGACATTCTACATAGGATAGCTTTTGCAAGAGTGAGTTGGGAGGGCAGAACCACGTATATCATCTATAACTTCTTGGAAAGAAGATGAAATATAAATGTAATAAGTCAATAATAATTATACTATGAAGCTTGGAACTCATGTATAATTGTTATACAAGCCACAAAAGCTTCACAATTGATTGGGATTGTATAACTGATTTGTTGGCATTAAGAACTGTACTATCAATTTATAACAATCAGTTTATAACAACAACATTCAAAACTCAGGCAAAAATAAATAAACAAGAGTTCACAATTTTTCCCAAACTTGCATTTCAATTTAAAGGCTAACCCCATCTGCAAGGCCCTGGACTAAGGAAGGCTGCAATCCAAAGAGTTTCAAATCAATAAATAAGAGTGACAGAGACTAAGAGCCATTCATGCAACAGATTTTTACCCTAGATATTTAATTCAAAATTGCTGAAATTTCTGTAGAACATTTTGCAAGGTTTTATCATTCATGAAACTTTGACTCATGCACATAGACTAGAGGATCAGCCAACAGATAAACCTGCATATGCCAAATACCGAAACTTCTTTTTATTAATGTCTGCTTTGTCTTCAGCTGTGTAGAACAGACACCTTAAAACTACTGGCTTTTCTCTCAACTTCTTAGGAAATCAAAGCAACAGATATCACCTTCTGTATATTTGGAAACTGTTGCCTAAACAAACTATATTTTTGGAAACATTGCTATCCCCAAGAAATTTTAAAGGCTTTTCCCCATGAAGATCATTAATAGTGGATAAAGTCACAACATATGCCAGTGATGGCGAACCTTTTAGGGACCGAGTGCCCAAACTGCAACCCAAAACCCACTTATGCATCGTCGGGTGCCGGGTGGGTGTGGCCCATTGGGTGGGCGTGGCTGCGGTAGTAATGGCAGACTGGGTGGGACTAAAAAGTTCAATCAATCAATTCCAACTGTGCAAGATCTTTTTTTCCCTGCGAGAAGTTGAAATTGACTGATTGATTGAACCTTTTTTTTTTTTTTGCACATGGCGGCGGAGACCTAAAGCGAAAAGGTTTTATAAAACCCAGCTGAAGGTCTAGGATGGGGGTGATGGCGCGCGTGCCCACAGAGAGGGCTCTGAGTGCCACCTCTGGCACCCGTGCCATAGGTTTGCCACCACGGACATATGCAGTACAAGATCCACAGTTTTCCAGGCGTTTTCTCTAATACATTTGCCCTTAATGCACAACACTAGTGAGAAAGGGCAATACCTCCTCTGCTTGATCTTTATGAAACAACAGCCCAGGTTTTTCAAAACTCACCAAAAATGTATGTAACTTTTGCCCAGTTGAAAATCATAGCAGCAACCATTTACTCAGAAAAGCCACCTGCTGCTTGATGTTAGGAACCATACAGTAGCTAAAAATTGATTTCTTATTTGATAAGAGGGCAATCATTTCTGGTGAGATAAAAGCCTGAAGGCTATATTGCATTTGGAATCCGGTTTGACAGATTTGCCAGTGGCATTCAGGGAAAGTGAAAGCAGATAATTGTAAAGAAATAGAATTCTGGTAACGTAGTAACTTTCTCTAACATATAATTATCCACCTTCAAACTAAACCAGAATAGCAAACATTTTTGCAATAATTTCTGATACGCTTCATTTTATACTGGAGCCTGCTTAGAAGTCTTGGTGAGTTTTTGCTACTAAGAGCCCCCAGAAGACTTGTTCCGATTCATACATTCAAAGATCAAGTTACCTTTAATTACTCTTACTAAAACAAGAACAAAAACCACCACTTCAAATGTCACAGCAAGTAAGACCTACAACAGCAAGCTAATAATATCCAATTTCAAAGCAGGATCACCAGGTCCAATAATTGGAAACTAGTCAAATCTGTATTTTCCACAGAATCTGTTGTGCAACAGAAGGAGCAGGTTTGTGCAAAAATATGGATATTTTTTTTAAAAAGACCACATTTCTTTAAAAATATCCCCGTAGGTTAAGCCTATTTATGAGAGTACAGAGAAGAGCAACAAAGATGATTAGGGGACTGGAAGCTAAAACATATAAAGAACGGTTGCTGGAATTGGTTATGTCTAGTTTAATGAAGAGAAGGACGAGGGGTGACATGATAGCAGTGTTCCAATATCTAAGGCACGGGTGTTAAACTCGCTCTGTCACGTGACATGTCGCACTGTACCATGACTTTTTTTTTGCATTGCCAGAGCTGGGGTGGGCACGGCCTCGGTATGATGCAACCGGTCCATGGGCCGGCAGTTTGACATCCCTGATCTAAGGAGTTGCAAAGAAGAGGGAGTCAAACTATTCTCCACAGCCCTTGAAGGCAGGACAAGAAGCAATGGATGGAAACTAATCAAGGAGAGAAGCAACCTAGAACTTAAGGAGAAATTTCCTGACAGTTAGAACAATTAATCAGTGGAGCAATCTGCCTCCAGAAGCTGTGAATGCTCCAACACTGGACGTTTTTAAGAAGAGACTGGATAAACATTTGTCTGAAATGGTATAAGGTTTCCTGCCTAAGCAGGGGGTTGGACTAGAAGATCTCCAAGGTCCCTCCAAGGTTAGTCTCTATTATTATTATTGTTGTTGTTGTTGCTATTAATAATAATTTATCATATGTAGCAACCTAAAGCCATAAGGTTATATTTAGTATCTTTGAAGGAACTAGACATAGTGGCTCAATTAACTTCTTCAGTGCGGTAGGAATTGAAGAGTCCATAGTGAACTCCATCATTATAACCTGCTTTTGTGTTGAAGTCCCCACCTACTAGAATATATGCACTGGAAAATTCATTCAGGTAAACATTAAGGAAGTTATCAACCTGCTTCCAGGTTTGGGTTACCTGTAACTGGGGCTGCTGAGGAGGAAGATAGACGTTAATGCATAATAAGGAAAACTGGTCAAAGACTAATGAAGCTGATACAGCATTCTCAAACGGAAATGATTGTTTTACAATTTGAACACATACTGTAAGGTGGAAGAGATAAAAACAGACCAAGCCCCCTCTTAGGACCACCACATCTGAGGTTAGCTGGTGCAGGAGCTAACAGAAAAAATAGGACTGAGAATTCCCCCAACATCCATGTCTCAAAATGATTTTATCAAATCTGGATAGGAATCCAAGAAAATCTGGGTGTGCTTCTTTTGGGGCCTACCAAGCTATGTT